ATATCTTTCGATAGACATTTGGTAAGAATCGCCGCCATAAATATTTCTTATCCTTTACCCTTATTTCGATTTTACTTTTCTCAAAAATCTTTAAATTCTTTCTCTTTTCTTTTCTTTGTTTTTTTTATCTCCTCGATTAAATATCGATTCAAAATAATATTCGTCATTGAGATTACACACACACATACACACACACACACACACACACACACACACACATATATATATATATTATATGTAATAAATATTAAAAGACATCGTGGGGTATATTCGATGAATATCATCACGGTACGGTCCGTCGCGACGCGTTCACCACGCCGATTGCGTGGTGCTAGTGATGGTGTGCTGATGATGGTGGTGTAGGTGGTGCTGCCGGTGGTCTTGCTAGTGGTGGTGGTGGTAGTGGTGGTGGCGGTGGTAGTGGTGGTGGTACTGGTGGTTAAACGACCCTCGCTCGTCCTTCGCCTCGCGAGAGAACACCGCCGACGGGACTCGCGAGGATCGCTTCTTCCACTTTCTCTCTTTTTTCTATCTTTTTTTCGCTCCTCTTATATTTATCTCTATTTCTCCCACTCTCCCATACTATTCTCTATCTTCCACCTTTTCCCTTCTCCCTTCCTCAGACCCCTCAAAAATATTTGCATCGAATCCTATCGATATCGTCGTGTCTTTGTCTAACCGTAATTTGAATCGTTCTCTTTGGAATCCGATTTATTCGATTATTTGTCAATTTGTATCACACTCTCACTCTCTTTCTCTCTCTCTCTCTCTCTCTCGTTGTCTCTCTAACATTCTATAAATTTTATATCGTCGAACATGACAAAGTTATTATCACTATTACTACTATTATTATTATTATCATCATTATTAATATATTCTTATAATGTATTAGGTTAACGAATGAGATGAAGAAACAAGTCGTATAGTTTAATCGAGATCGACCGGGGCCGTGTTTTTCATTGAGAACGCATTCTCTTTCTCCCACCTTCTACCCCATCTCCCTCTCTCTCTCTCTCTGGTACAGGAGGAGGAGGAGGAGGAGGAAAAGGAGGATTATGAGAAGGAAGAAGGAGGTGAAGACTAGGAGATTAGTAACGTTGGATTGTACGCGATAAAGGAGCCGTTGGAAGACAACGACTCGTCAACGGAAAAAGAGAGAAAGAAAAAGAGAGAGAAAGGGAGAGAGAGAGAGAGAGAGAGAGAAAAGTGGTAGTGGTACTGGTGATGGTGCTGCTGTTGCTGGTTGAAGAGGAGTAGAAGGAGAAAGAGAGAAAGAGAGAGAGAGAGAGGGTAACACGCTCGAGGAAGTTGCCTGGATACGGGGGCAGCGGCGGTGGCACCGTGTTGCGCCCTCGTTGAAGGAGGAGGTGGAGGGAAGCAAAGAGAGAAGGAAAGGGAGAGAGAGAGAGAGAGAGAGAGAGAGAAAGAGACATCTATATGTATATATATACATATATATAGAAAGAGAGAGGGAAAGAGCGAGAGAGAAGTGCGCGCGCGCGCGCGCAACCGAGTGGCCGGCCGAGCGAGAACGCACATAGAGAGTACGCCGCGTACGGATTGGAATGGAACGCGTCGCGGACCACGGCGAAGGTGCTACTTCTTGTAGTGTTACGTGTTAAAGTACGAGGATGCACGAGCTCTTACTATTGCCAGTAGTCCTGCTCGGCCGACGGCTCGTCAACGACGTCTCGTTTCCTTCGCGATAAGCATCCTGCATCCTCGTTATTATTATTCATATTATTATTATTATTATTATTATTATTATTGTTCTTGTTCTTCTTCTTTTTCTTCTTTTTATTCTTCTGTCTCTCTCTCTCTCTCTCTCTCTAACCCTTTTACTTTCTTTCTCCCTACTCTTTTCATTTTACATCTATTTCTACTTTAATTCTCAATCTTTACCTGTTTCTTTTGACCTGTGTCTTTTTTTATTTTGTTTTTCATTTTTTTGTTTTTCTTCTTCTTCTTCCTCTTCTCTCTCTCTCTCTCTCTCTCTCTCTCTCTCGTATGCGTATTCGTTCGGGCTATTCGATTTGCCATCGTGCGCGTTACAAATCGTTCAATTTCTTTTCTTTTTTTTTCCTTTTTTTCCTCTCCTTTTTCTTCCTCCCCCCTTTTTCTTTTGTTTCATTATTCGTTGAATTCTCAACAGGAAGTGTTGGAGCGAAAGAGAGAGAGAGAGAAAGAGAGCGAGAGAGAGAGATAGCTGAGTGACAGAAAATAAAAGTGAACGAAGAGGATTCGTGTTATGGAAGAGAAACGCGAAACGGCAGGATCAATCGTGTGGATAACGAACGAAATGATGTCCTTCTTAATAAGGAAGGATCGTGTCGGCGACACCTGTGTATTTTGTGCGCTATCATAGTACGAGGGAGATTAATTGATTCGTCCCTTCGATTTACTAAACAAAAAAATATCTCCGGTGCTCTGGGGGTCTTTCTTGCGATAACTGCGAGACGCGAGAGCGTGGGTACGTAACGCGAAACATTGATAATTAGTTTTAATCGATCGTAGATTTTTGTAAATTTCTTTTTTTTCTTCTTCCTTTCTTTCTTTCCCTTTTTTACTTTTATAAATCATTTCGTGCGACGACGCGAATCAAAAACGTTGTTACTCTTTCGATTTCTCTGT